TCTGGGGAGATTTGGTTTGAAATAAAGGAATGGGGTGAAAATGGGGGAAGTGGGAGTGAGCCCTTCGTCACGGCCTGCGGGGGGCAATCAGCGATAATTAGTGGCCTCTTAATTGAGAGAGGGGCTTTGTAATTAGGGGTTTCCCTTGGCGGTGTGAATGAGAAGCTCTTCGTTGTGAAATAAGACGTGGGTCCCATCTCCCACGCCAGCGCTGGGGGAAAGAGATTAATTAATGAGGCTAATTAGTGACGCTGATTATTAATTAGCGGCCTATTAATTGCCATCCCGAGAAGAACTCCATCGTTGAGAGAACAACTTCTTAATTAGCGATTTCCCTCAGCGACGTAAATGAGAAACTCATCGCCGTGAGGTGGGACGCGGATCCCATCCGTTTCCCCCACCTGCACCGGGGGGAAAGAGAATGATTTACGAGATTAATTAACGACAGTAATTAATAAATGGCAACTTCTTAATCCTCATCACATCAACAATCCTGTCATTTAGGGAGCAGCTTCTTAATTAGTGATTTCCTTCAGCAACGTCGATGAGGAACTCATCGCTATGAGATGGGAGGCGGATCCCATCTCCCACACCAGTGCTGGGGGGATTAATTAATGAGACTAATTAATGACACGAATTAATAATTAGAGACCTCTTCATTGTCATTCTGAGAAGAACTCCTTCATTTAGACTTCTTAATTAGTGATTTCCCTTGGCTGTGTAAACGAGAAAATCTTCATTGTGAGATGCAACGCGGATCCCCTCTGTGCTGGGGGGAACAGATTAATTAATGAGACTAATTAACGGCACTAATTAATAATTAGTGACCTCTTAATTGTCATTCTGAGAACTCCATCACCGAGAGAACAACTTCTTAATTAGTGATTTCCTTTGGCCACGTAAATGAGAAACTCTTCGTTGTGAGACGCGACGCCGATCTCTTCTCCTGCACCCGCGATGAGGGAAAGAGATTGATTAACGAGACTAATTAATGAGACTAATTAATGATTAGTGATAGTAATGATTGTCGTCCTGAGAACGCCATCATTTAGAGGACGGCTTCTTAATTAATGATTTCCCTCGGCGGCATAAACGAGAAACTCTTCGTTATGAGGTGGGACGTGGATCCCGTCTCCAACATCTGCACACGTGGGAAGGGATTAATTAATGAGACTGATTAATGAGGCGAATTAATGGCACTAATTAATAGCACCCATTAATGCGACTAATTAATAGGGATAATTAGTCTCCTGCACGCTTATTGGCGCCAGGAGCTTCCCTCTGCCAATCTCTTGAGGCAGCACTGCTGGCTGAGAGGACCTCACCCTAATTAATCACCCGGCTAATGAACTAATTAGTGATGATGTTCGTGTCGGCCGCGCTAATTGGGAGCGTGGCGGCGAGCTGAGGTCACTGGGGACGGAGGGGGGAGGGGGACACGGGGACGTTGTGCAAGGCCCCCCTTCCGCGGGCTGCCTAATTAAGCCTAATTAGCCTGCTAATTAGTGGGAGGGCTGGAAGGGATGGCGCGGCGGAATGGAGACATCGGGGTCCCTGTAGGATCCCCAAAACTGCGCCCCTATTTGGGGTCCCCAAAACTCTGCCCCTATTTGGGGTCCCTGTAACCCCCTCCCATTTTTTGGGTCCCCATAACTGCACCCCATTTTTGGGGTCCCCAAAACTCTGCCCCTATTTGGGGTCGCCATAACTTCTCCCCACTTTTGGGGTCCCCAAAACTCCTCCCCATTTTGGGGTCCCCATAATTCCACCTCTATTTGGGGTCCTCGTAACCCCCTCCCATTTTGGGGTCCCGATAACTGCACCCCATTTTTGGGGTCCCCGTAATTCCGCCCCTATTTGGGGTCCTCGTAACCCCCTCCCATTTTTTGGGTCCCAATAACTGCACCCCATTTTTGGGGTCCCCAAAACTCGTTCCCCTATTTGGGGTCCCTGTAACCCCCTCCCATTTTTGGGGTCCCCATAACTGCAACCCATTTTTGGGGTCCCCAAAACTCGTCCCCCTATTTGGGGTCCCCATAACTTCTCCCCACTTTTGGGTCCCCAAAACTCCATCCCATTTTTGGGGTCCCCATAACTTCTCCCCCTATTTGGGGTCCCCAAAACTCCTCCCCATTTTGGAGTCCCCATAATTCCGCCCCTATTTGGGATCCACCATAACTTCACCCCATTTTTGGGATCCTCAAAATTTCCCCCCTATTTGGGGTCCTCGTAACCCCCTCCCATTTGTGGTTCCCCATAACTTCTCCCCACTTTTGGGGTCTCCATAACTCCACACCATTTTTGGTGTTCCCATAACTTCTCCCCCTATTTGGGGTCCTCCATAACTCCACCCCTTATTGGGGACCCCGTAACTCTGCACCACATTTGGGGTCCTCGTAACTCCCTCCCATTTTTGGGGTCCCCATAATTCCGCCCCTATTTGGGGTCCCCGTGACCCCCTCCCATTTTTGGGGTCCCCATAACTGCACCCCATTTTTGGGGTCCCCGTAATTCCGCCCCTATTTGGGGTCCTAGTAACCCCCTCCCATTTTTGGGTTCCCCATAACTGCACCCCATTTTTGGGGTCCCCATAACTCTGCCCCTATTTGGGGTCGCCATAACTTCTCCCCACTTTTGGGGCCCCCAAAACTCCTCCCCATTTTGGGGTCCCCATAATTCCACCTCTATTTGGGGTCCTCGTAACCCCCTCCTATTTTGGGGTCCCCATAACTGCACCCCATTTTTGGGGTCCCCGTAATTCCGCCCCTATTTGGGGTCCTCGTAACCCCCTCCCATTTTTTGGGTCTCAATAACTGCACCCCATTTTTGGGGTCCCCAAAACTCGTTCCCCCATTTGGGGTCCCTGTAACCCCCTCCCATTTTTGGGGTCCCCATAACTGCACCCCATTTTTGGGGTCCCCAAAACTCGTCCCCCAATTTGGGGTCGCCATAACTTCTCCCCACTTTTGGGGTCCCCAAAACTCCTCCCCATTTTGGGGTCCCCATAATTCCACCTCTATTTGGGGTCCTCGTAACCCCCTCCCATTTTTGGGGACCCCCATAACTCCACCCCATTTTTGGGATCCCCCATAACTTCTCCTCATTTTTGGGGTCCCCAAAACTCCGCCCCTATTTGGGGTCCTCGTAACCCCCTCCCATTTTTGGGGTCTCCCATAACTCCACCCCATTTTTGGGGTTCTCTTTTTTCTCCCATTCATTGAAACGAAGGGGGAAACTGAGGCACAATCTCCCCATGTTCTTCTGGCAGGAGGGCACTGGGAGACACTGGGGGGGAC